TCGGAGAAATCACCCTCACGCATGGCGCGCAGCGAACAGGCTACCTCTGCCTCTGCCTCTGCGTGGCTTCCTTCACCGCAGACACAGCCACCTCCTATCCGCCTGAGCTTTTGCTTGTGTCTGAAGGGCGCACCGCCAGGTTAGATCCGTCCGTCTTTCGTATCCCGACGCCGACGCCGGTGCCGGCAGTGCCCGACAGCGTCAGTGCACACGCAGACTTATTCGACGGCGACTGGAATGTCCTCCACGGAAACGTGGCCACAGAAGTCGATGCGTACGCTGCTGGGCATTACGTGTTGCGAAGCAATCAAAGGGGCTAACAGAGACGAGATGAATACAAGATGTCCTCGCGAAAAGAAAGAACATGTGTGTGTGTCTTTGCTCTTCCAGTGACGATGACCTTGGGTGCACTGCGAGGAGGAATATCATATCAGCAGACATCAATTGTCGATCAGCATTTCATTCCTCAGCACTCTGAAGTGTCAAGAGAATCGATCAGTCGAGAGAATCAATTTGTGGTCCTCGATCGCTGGTCGTGTGTGCGCGTGCGTGTGCGTGTGAGTGTGAGAGTGTGAGTGTGAGTGTGAGAGTGTGAGTGTGAGAGTGTGAGTGTGAGAGTGTGAGTGTGAGAGTGTGAGTGTGAGAGTGTGAGGGTATGTGGATGTCCTCCCCATCCACTCTGAGCCTCGCACTTGGCCCTCTAGCCGTGATATGCCATGCCGTGATATGCCATGACATGTATGCCTTGCCGCGTGAATATTCCACCCTAGTATGGTGGCGGAGGCGGCGGCGGCGGTGCTAGTGGTGGTAGAGGTGATGTTGATACGTACGGGGGCTGGCTGCCTTCTTAGCCATCGCTCTCCCTCTCCCTCTCGTCCACCCTCTGTCTGTCCCTCACCCTCACTCTTTATTCAGCCTCCTTCCTCTCCCTCGCCGCCCACGTCCTCTCCTCATCCGCACACGCCGTGCACAAGGCCAGGTAATAATCCCGCCAGGGCTGCACGGCCAGGACGCCCACCTCGCACATTCCGCCCGCGAGGATCCCATCGCCCTTGTGCTTCATGCCGCCTTGGTCGCGGAGTTGTGTTTCGCGTGCGAGTTTCGAGGCCGCGCACTCGGTGAGGAAGTCTGCGTGGTGAGAGAGGTGGGGGTGTTAGTGAGGGTACGTACACGGCAAGACAAGGAAAAGGAACGGAGGGAACGGTGCAGAACTTACCCTTTTGGATTCCGAACTGCACGCCACATGTGCGGCAGTGGAGACGGGCTGGTTGGGAGATGCACATTGTAGGTAGGCTCGCAGGATATGTGGGTTGGTCTGGCGTGGTTGTAAGATGGTAAGAGTTGAGCGACCGTGAGGGAGCGGGGAGCGGTCTGATTCTGATGGTTCGAACGGTGTAAAGAGCTGAGAAAAGGCCAATGTAATTGTCAATACGACTGTGAGTGAAGGTGAAGGCGAAGGTGATATTCCTCGAATCGGTTGCCGGCCGACTGTGGTCCGACGTTCGTACCTTCGCTCAGCTGTGGCTGGTCTTCGTCTTGTCGGGATATTTCAAGGTATTCATAGTAGACAGAAAAGCGCAAAGTTCAGGGTGGTGACACTTTGTGACATGAAACTCTCTCTTCATGACGAGAGGTCGTTGGTGATACCGTGGTGAATGGAGAGAGAAGAGGATCGTGAAAAGAGAAGGCGATTTTGATTCACCGGACATAGCGAATTCACTGATCATAGCTCAAGGTCGACGGCAACGGAATGTAAAATGAGACAGCGTGGAGATCTCTCAACACATGTACCAGCAGTCTGCCTGACAAGGTGAATGATGCATCAATCTCACATCTATCGTTCACTGCATTTCACTTACCTCTCATCCCTCGACCTGCTCGGCTTAGGATCATGTACCCAACGGCATGCAGTGACGCGGGTCAAGACTCAAGCGAAAACAACAAGAATCAGAAGATCGACCAAGACATCAGCATGTTCTGCGCTTCACTGTGGTCGGTATCCTCTCCCTTGTCCTTGCGCGGCGACCTCTATCAAGCACCGCTTCTGAAATCGTCCCTCAAAAGTTCTTCCCTGTAAATGGGCTCTGGACCGAACCGAAGCTGCATGGCAAACGTCAGTCTCATCATCAGCAGGACTTTTCACCAAACTCACCCTTGCGGACACTGTCGACCCAGCGCTACACTCCCACTACGCATGTAGCAGACCCTTGCCTCAGCACATGCATTGCTCGTACAGTTGGGAGTCTTGACACTCATCTTGCCTTGATACGTATTATGTATGCTCACCAGTGTATGGTTCGCAGCCATGGCCTCGGTGACCTTTTGCCAATACGTCGCATTCAAGGGTGCATCTGCAGGCCATCCAATTTGATAAGTGTCGCGAGTAGAGTATTCGAACTTCCACACAGGACCGGTCTCTGCGGCGTCGATTGTCTGAAAGGCACTGACGTTGGTGTAGTATGTGTAGGCGTTGTAGACGGAGAAATCGCCCGTGTCAACCTCGTACATCCGGTAGCCTGAGTTGAGGTTCGTCAACGGCGTAACACTCGGACCCATCCAGCCAACATTGACGGCGTGAGCAGCATCCTGTGTAGTGCCATTGTTGCTGTAGTAGATAAAGAACTGGTCTTCGTGAGTATGGCCAAAGAAGACGCCAGCAATGACATGTGGCGAGAACCGATCAACGATCTGGTAAAAGAGATCTGTGACGCGGTCAGCAAAATACTTCAATGTCTCGAAATGGGTTTCCGCTTTGTGCGCCGTGTGTGCTCACCCGTAGGATTGGGGAGAGGATTTGACCCGTCCCAACCTGAGAGGACATGACCGATGAGCCAGACACGTTCTCCCTTGCTCTCAGCGTCGAGCAGTTCCTGCGCGACAAAGTGGAAGGCGCCACTGTTGTCCGGATTTGTGGTGTTGCTGATGTCACGTTAGACGAGTACTGGTGATTCGTTCTGCTTTCCCTACATGTAATTCAAAATGTTTGACCGATACCAGAAGTCGGTGTTGAAGGTAATGATACGCAACTTCGGATACTTGGGGTGATTGATGCTGTAGCCTCCATAGTGCGTTCGAGCCTCCTGTGCAGCCTCCGGTGTGATCCAGTTGTTCTGTTGCCAGAGGGACGCGACGTGGTTCCAGTTCCACGATCTGCCAAGGTTAGCCGGGTCGCAAAACAGGGCAAGCGACTTACTGCTGCTGGCCCAGAGGTCCCGGTAAGCTATGTGGCGAGTTGATCCCGTCTGCCATGAAATCAGCACAGTCCCATTCAGTCAACTCCTCGCCTTACCAGGATTCGTGTCATGGTTTCCAAGCACAGGAAAGATCGGTCCAGAAGGGATAAACGACTTGATCATGTGGTAGATTGACACCTCGGCGTACTCGGTATAATTGTTGGACAGCTCGTTTTGAGATTCGTGCGAGACAAGATCACCAGTGTAGATACCCCATGCAAATTGGTCGCTGTCGCTCATGTTGTTCGACGTAGTGCCAGTGAGCGGGCCAATTGATTGCAGCGCAGACGTCAGCAGGAAATAAGGGCTGTCGCATTTAAAGGCTCCATACAGGGGAGACGCGATCTCCAGCTCGCCGGAAGCGCTTTTGGGATTGTTGGAGCGGCAGCATAACCCACTGGTGCAGTTGGCCTCAGATCCTACATCGTACCTGGGATCAATGTGGAAGTCGCTGAGGTGGACGACCTTGACTCGCTTGCCACTTGGTTTCGGCACCGTGACGTTGTTCGGCTTGGGTCCGAAATATGCTGTCGTGTTCGACGGAAGAGTAAATGGTCGAGGGCAAAAGTTGCCGCTAACAAAATTGCACAGATACTGGCCGTCAGATCCAGAGACGTTCGCGAGAGCCAGGACCTGAGTATAGATGGCGCCGAAGTTTTCTGCATCGTAGGACTCGTGGCAGCTGGTATTGGACCCGAAACCGGTGCTTACACACAGTTGAAACAGCAAATCGGGGACCAAGGTAGGCACTCGTTGGGCTACATATTGGCCGACCTCCAAAGCCGACATACACTTCGTACAATTGGTTGCATCGGTGGCCAAGATGGCATTGAACTGGCTGATAGCATCGGCGACAATCGCACTCCCGTTTGTGACTGTAAACAAAGGCGTCGGAAAGAAGATGGGATCTTCACTCTCCTCGGGAATATTGGTTTGATTTGTGAGTTCCAACGGAAACGTGTAGTTCAAGGCTGGGTCGAACACAACGGGTTGTGGCTACCTCTGTCAGTGACTTCTGCAATAGTTCCATGCCACTCGACCTTACTTCTTGCGTTGGGGAGGGTGGTATATAGTACGCAGGAAACAGGCTGGTTGGGAAGCCAGCAGGCACAGTGTAAGCTAACAGCTGAGAACTGGAGGGCTGAGCATGAGCATATTGGCAAGAGAGCAAGGCCAGGGCCGGGAGAAGAGAGCAGGAGCTGCAATACATGCTGGGCTGGAGGTACAAGACAAAGACTGAAGTCTACCCACCGTATCTCACAAGGAAGCGGACGAAAAAGCTCGTGAGATGCTCAGCCATTTATCGGATGTCTGGAGTGCGGCAAAGCTTGATCCCAGATGGCTCGCGATCGAAGCATGATGCTCTTGAAGCTTCCTGTTGGTGGATATTGCTGTTCGAGGCCAATAATGGTGACGATGGAATGCGAGAAGCAACGTCAAGCTGCACGGCCGACGATATTGCGTTAGTGGCTGCCAAGGCCACCAATTGTAACGAGGCTGGAGTAGCACGTGCTTAGCTAGTCCAGAAGCATTACCTCCTAGGCAGCTCAACGGCTGCGGAGCTGACGAGGTACTCGTACGCATGTTGCATAGCCGAGTTGGAGACCAGTATCTGCCGCGTGCACATCATGAATCATCCAGCATCTCGCGGGCTATTCCGATACTGGTAGCCGATAGCTCGGTGTATACCAAAGCCACCCCTGGAGCAGTGCATCGGTATAGGCAAGTCATTGGCGAGCCTTGCATACATCTGCCCACCTTACATCCCTAGCTTGTCCACCATTTTGGTAATGGTCGATTCGTATTGCTGCATCCCTCTTTCCAGCTTTCGTATTCGAGTCTTGAGAACGTGGGATACTGTTCCCGGCACAGGGTTCTTCTCGGGGTCATCCCTTCCGCTGTCGTCCTCATCATCGCCTGTTCTTGTTGCGTCCCACGACCGACGAGACACCGCATGAAGTGCCGATCATGAGCGTTGACCAGCCGCGCCCCTTGCCACGAGTTGAGCGCTCCAATGAATGTATCAATGGTATCAGCGTCCAGATGTGTTGTCACTTCATCCAGGATCAACAGCTGAGGCGAAGTAAGAAACGCTCCTACCAGAGTTGCCCGAACGCGCTGCCACGGAGACAGCCAGGCCAATGGAATGTCAGTAACCATATTCCCGCGAAGATATAGCTTTGCTAGCGTTCCTCGGGCAGCTTGTCCATCCCCAGTCAGCCTTGGACCTGCAACAGTGAGATAAAGCTGTTTTCTGTGGATTCTGGCGGCCTGTTGCTCCCAGTTCTTGTGCCGCATGTTGAGAATAGCAGGCGAATCGAGCTTTCAAACGTACAGCGATCGAGCCGTTGGTTTTTCCCTGGAGGCCTGCTCGCGACTGCCCACATCAAGAGCTTGAGCAGCGGGGGCTGCCCGTCCCCATTGACACCCAACTGGTCCAAGTCATTCGATGGGTTGCATGACCAAATCGACTTCTTTCAAAGTCCACACACCCGACCTTGAATACGTTTGTATTGACTTCATCCAAGCTTGTTCTGGTGTCAGTAAAGTCCAAGACTGGGGTCCTGGACCTTACCTTTTCTCCGCTTCCCCCACGGACCTTTCATTCTCTGTGAGAAGTTGGTGTGCCTTGAGACCTCGGGCACCACGTCGCCTTGCCGCCAAATGCTTGGGCCTCAGCCAAGTCTTGCCGTGGTGTCTCAAGCTGCAGAGTGCGAACAGTCTTAGCGACTCGCTGTGAATCCTGCTTGTCTTCCAGCGATGCAACTGGCCTGAGACACATATCAGACTCGTGTCAGAGGGACCGCTTTTGGTGTTGAGGAATCATTAGCCTCCGCCTGTATTGCGCGTTGGTGGGTGGTCACGACAATGTTTCGATCTTGCAGTTTCGACGGTCGACGTGCCTGACATGGGTGCTTTGGGCATATCAGTGGAACTCAGGAGAACTACAGTACCTTGCTCAGAAGTTGGAATGGCGAAGTCAGGAAGTAAAAGGGTTGGTCTCCGGTATAGTCCATTGCGCGGCCGAAATCGAAGTGGTTCTATGTTTCATTAACGGGGGACCTGGTATTGAAGTACAGATTTCGGCAACTCGAACTGAGTCCCTAGACTTGCAGGGTCGACTCAGATTGTCAATGGGAACGGAATTCGTCGACAAGAGTTGGAGCTTCAGCATATAGGTAATACGAGGTCCACGACAGAATGAGTCACTCAACATTCGGCTTGCGTGCTTGGGAGGAGGCGCTCTAGTTCTTCGGTATGCCTTTTACTGTCGTAAGGTACAATGCTCGTAAACGTTTGAACAGCTTTTCAGGGTCAGTGGATCCCAAATAATTGAGATGACGGTCATTTGAAAACATACCACGTGACCGACATTCGCCTCAAACGGGATTGTGTAATGGAACCTCAGGGCACTCTGCCTCGCTGCATTGCACCCAACTGATCAAGAGTAGAGGTTGGGGCAGCGCTCAAGTCGAAGCTGCAGGTCGTCGACAGTTCTGACCGCCATGGCGCAATTCCGATCGAAGAAGCTCGACCTGGGCTGTTTCGTCAACTCCAAAATCATCCGTGATCACACAAAGCGGAAGACATTCGAACAGTTCGAACCACAACGGTATATATCCCGGTCCTATCACGCATCACCATATTGCGACAGATTCTAATGCCCAGTCGATGTTTAGGCAAGCTCTCCGATATCTTATCCGCAACACCTCACTCCCCGACTGGGTCCGTACGAAAGCCCAGTTCGAACTGAGGAACATGCACTGCTACACGCGGCCAACGCAGATCAAAAACCGCTGCATAATGGGTGGATTGGCAAGAGGTGTTTTGAGAAAGTTTAGGATGGCCAGGTTTCAATTCCGAATGAACGCTCTAGACGGCACCATACCAGGCGTCAAGAAAGCCAGTTGGTAAAGACTTGTACAAAAATACGAGAGAAGGGCATATCATGCATCCGGACGGCGTTACGCTTGTGCTACAATAGGACGTTGTCAGCGTGGATCATGGAGAACTTGCTCAGCCATCTGGATTGTGCCCGACCTTCTGGCAGCCCGGGAGTGTGTCAAATCCATTGGGTTGTTTGGGTACAGTGATTCTCGGTTCTCCCATGGAACGAGCAGAAGAAAAGGAAATACTTCAGCCCGGTGATCACCAGATCAGAAATGATAATGGGACGCGCTAGCTTCACCAATCCATCGCCATGGCAGGCCTCCTCCTGCCTGTTGCTATCATGTCGTTAACGTGTCATGTATCTCGCTAACCGTTTTCCCATTTCCTCGTCAGCATACCACACCATGCTCTGTGCTGTTGGCCCCTTGTTTCGAGCTGTGGACACGTTAGAGCGATCCTCGGAAGCCTCACCAGCCTAATAAAAACGGCCCGCCGGCTCCTCGTGGTCGACGCCCGGATCCAATTTCAATTTCTCAATCGTTGCGACAACAGCCTTATCTTTAGCGTATCGAGGAGACGCCTCGGGAGACGAGGCCATGATTGCGGCTTCAAAAGAGTCAAGATCATTCTGGTGTGTCTTGTCGTCGGGCGTGGTTGGTCCGCCAGGGTCTGGAAGTGGCGTGACATGCCACTCTGATCCCTGGTTCCAAGCATCATTCTCGCTTACTGTCTCTGGTTTCTTCTCCGCATCCTGGTCTTCCTCGTGCTGGTCCTCGTCGCTCTTGACTCTTGCCTTGATCAACATTGCAACCCAGGCTTCGAGAGTATACCGCGCATCATTTCCACCATTGTGTGGGAAGTAGCATGGAAGGCCGAGGTCTGACATGATAGAAGAGAGGCTGCGATTCTGGATTTCTTCTTTCAACACACGATAGAGCGGTGCAGTGTCCATTGAATCGATGATAGAAGCAAGAACCTTGGATTTTCCCCCACCGTTGGCCATCATGTCCATAGCGGGTATGGGGTATGTCGCACGGGACGGGGCGAAGATTTTCGACCCCAGATCTCTTAGATACTCGACGTCGGCACGAATATCGTGTCCTAACAGGACAATGTTGCGTTCCTGAGGTCCTTGCTGAAGACTCTCCGAGTCTGATTTGTTTGCCCCGGTAGGCTCAACAGCTTGGGTGGTGGCTTCTTTGTTCCCAATACCATTCAACACGTTGGCAATAGCTGCTCTGCTTGCGGCATCTTGCTCGGCATTGGTCGGTCCAATGTAAACTCCTCCAAAATCGTTGGACACTCTTCTCTGTGTGTTGTTCTCCTTTGCCAGCTTGGCTGGCTCGACAGCCCATTGGTCATCTAGACTAACGTGCTTGAATTGTACAGAGAATGGCCATTCGAAGCAGCTGTCAACGACGGCCACAGCCTCCTTGAGGTCAACCCACTCAGACTTGCCAAATTGAAAAGCGTCGGGATGGCCGGCGCAGAAGTCTCTGTTGACAAGATGCTCTCTGCCACTGATGCGGAAGTGACGGGAGCGAATCTGATTGAGCCAATTTTTGCCGTTAGGCCCGGGGGGAAGATCGACCAAGTCGCGAGTGTCAAGAGTGCTGATGCCGATCTCGGTGATGAGATTGTGTGCTCTCTCATACGACTCAACATCGACGGCAATGATTACGGGCTCCTTCTCGAAGGGTAGTGGAGCTGGTTTGTTGACATTGAGTGGCTTGAGCACGAAATGGGCTTTCTTGAGCTGTTCGTAACGGAACTTCTCCTGCTCTTCCCATGACATGGCAGGATCTGGGTGTTGGATTTGACCTGTCTTACGTCTCAAGCCCAGGTAGCGTTGAGCTCTTCTAAGCTGAACATACCAATCCCTGATACTGAGCAAGCGGTCGTCTTCTCTCTTGTTCTTGCCCACGCCGCTCTTGTTCTTGCCCTTTGCTGCAATAGCCGACTGACACATGTCCCTTGAAATCCTCAAAGGCCTGTTTAACTGTAACCGAAGCATCCTCGGGGCATTCTGCATGGTCCATGGGAGCAGCAGGAACATTGTTCTGTAAATCGTTGGCATCGTCTCTCGAGTTTGACTTGCCCAAAAAGATGGGTCGAGGAGTCCCATCATCAAAGGATGTAAGAGTGAACGGAAATCTTGGCACCGAAACCGGAACTTTGAAGGTCTGCCCAATCTCAGTGACTAGCTGCCGAATTTGGGCATAGGGTACGAGAATGATCGGCTTGCTGCTCAGAGAGAATGGAGGATGAAGATAATACCTGGCTCGTATCAGCTAACGTCTTTCCTATAACGAATCTGAACATTATATGAGCAACTCACAGATCCCAGCTTCGAGAGTAGAATTTGTTGGAGGCAAAGAAGTGCCGAGACACACGGTCATTGGTGTCATTCATGTACTTGTAGGGAAACTTGGCTGCAAGACTGAATTGGCAAAAGTGTCCAACAGCTGGGTTTCCATGGACATCTGCTGTCGGGAGGTGGTCATCGTCGGAGTCGGGTTCGTTCACAGAGTCGGTAAAGTTGCGCTTCGAAGATTTGCCCCTTGCGAGATACTCATTAGGGCCTTTGGGCTCGGTGACAGCACCCTTGGGATAGCCGAAAGCGCCGGGTTCAGGCACCTTTCGCGGCTTTGACTTCACATCTTTTGAAGGCACTTTCATTGACGGCTTCTTCTTGAAAGCACAGATGTAGTCATCTTCATCAGAACTGGTAAGGATGTCGCGGGCCTGTTGAACTCCTTCTTTCTGAGTTGGTTTGATCTGCCTAGGGTATTCAGCAGTGGAGCCGATTCTGAATGGTGGTTCTTCTTTGGCTTTCTTCTCCGCAAGCTCCTTCTCAGCGAAGTGAGGTTTACCAGGTGTGGGAGCAGGGGGTAGAGGTGAGTTTGCAAACAATCGATCCAGCCGAGTTTGCGGGTTAGTGGTAGCCATCTTGCACAGCAGACTCTTCAGTCCTGAAAGAAGTGTGAACCACCAGTAACAGAGGCTTCGTCGGGGGTGGAGTCGTGAAAATTGGCAGAGAGAACTGAAGAAAGAAACACGACGTCTTAGGTGGAGTTTCACTGGCTCAATGAAAGTCGCATGAGTATGACAATGGCAATACGGTTTGAACGTGAAGGGATTGAAACAAAAGGGAAAGAAAGAGGATACGTGGAGTGACAGATTTTGTATTGCTGGTGAAGAGACACGTGAGGCAGAAGTGACGGTCGAGGTAAACGATCACAGCATGCAAACTGCGGTCGGCTTCGGCTGAACTGTGCGTGTCGGAACCCGCTTTACAGTCTCGATCCAGCTGCTTCCTGTAGTGGGGAAGTGGCCCAGTAGCAGCTCCAAGGATTGCCAGTGAGGAGGCTGTTATGGACAATACGAGGTAGAGGATGTGTTTAATGACAGCCATAAGATGGGCGAAGTACGGAGTACCACTTCGGCGGAGTGGAGCTTCAAGCCCCGCACGTGACAGTTTCTGCCACTTCCCACCGCCTTTGCTCGTAACATGCGCGGTCGTTCGACTGCGACTGCGATTGCGGAGGAGCCGATGTGATGTAGACGACAGCAGAGAAGCGGCGCTTGACTCTCTTCATTCTTACAGGACTACTCCGTACTCAGCCTGAAACTACGCCGTCTCCTAGAATCACAGGCTCTTCCTGATCGTTCGTCGAAGACCTATCGCGAGGCAATAGATTCGGTGCTTGACATCGCTTCACTCTGATCCTCCCATGCGCCGCCGACAACAACGACCTAACACACTTGGCCTCGATGGTCACCATGGCGGAGATAGTCAGCGAGCGAGCTGCCGACCCGGATGCTCAGGCTGCTGTGACCGACTTTCTTGACTACACTGAATATTTCCCCTCAGACCTTATACGCTCCCTTACCCTCATTCGCGGCCTGGACGACGCGTATCAGAGCCATTCTCTGACCCTGAACGACCTCACCAAGCTTTATGGCACTCTTCCGTCCCTTGAACCAGGCTTACGTCCGAATGCACAAGAACTCCGTACTCAAATTGCGGCTCGATTGGACCAGGCTCTCAACGCGCGAGAGTCAGCCTACGCAGAGGCCCGTCGCCTGTTTGACGTCGCGGAACGGCATCAGAACAGACTGAAAAGCATCATCGCCAAGTTAAATGCTATACCTAAGCCTCCATTACGAGATCCTACTCCCCCACCCGCACCCTCGTCGCAGGTCAAGCGTTCGCGGAGCGGCAGAAAGATTGAGACCGCCACCAGACTCACGCTACACCCCCCTCGTGGCAATGCGGTCGCTTCCGCAATACTCAAGAAACCTCGCAGTCGTCGAGTGACGGTGCCTGGAGAAGTCATGCCACCTTACGACCCGGACTCGCCAATTGCAAGCACAGAGGTATCAGACTGGGGATCTCCGCCGCCTTCTCCGCCACGACCTGTCCTCAAGCTTAAACAACCAAAGCCGCCGCCGCCGTCCTTAAAGCCTCAAAAGCAGAAGCATGTGCATTCCGACGAGAAACCCCGCCCCACTCGAGAAGAGACGGAGACATATCGCAAACCAACTCCCCCACCCGAGGAGGCTGAGATTGGGAGCAAATACAAACCATGGACGCACTTGACCGAGTTCGAGATGTACAAACTACGCAAGAAGATGAAGAAAAACCATACATGGGAGCCCAGCGATGTCATGATCAGGCGCGAGCTGGCTGATCGCGGAAGAGGCTGGGAGAACTACTACCGAGCAAAGGCAGAAGCCGAAAAGACCGGTGCCAAGTTCATTGATCTCGATAGCGTCGAAAAGGTCTTTCCCAAAGCTGAAACGAGCGAGAAGGCAGAGAAGCTGGACCAGATCGAGAGCGTCGAAAAATCAGACACGGTAGAAGTGGTGAGCACAACCGAAGACGCGACTGTCCCCATGCGAGTCCCGGACAACGTCGAAAAACCGGAGCCTGCCGCACCGGCCGGACTGGCTGCACCTATAGTAACCCCTGCACCCAAACCCAAGGCACCGAAGAAGAGTGAGAAGAAGGAGAAAAAGCAGCCTGAGCCGGTCCTATCGGAGGCCGCGCTTGCAGCCCAGGAGGCTGAACTCGCGGCTCGACGCCTTGGGGACATTGGCTCCAAGTTCCGCACCCTGTTCGCTTCGCCCTTGTCTGCGCTGGCTTCCTTCGGTCGAAGTGCTAGTACTCCGACGGCCAATCGCCCGGCTAATTCGGCGAAGAAAGCTACTGAAAAGACCTCAAAGAAGAGAAAGGCCGACGACACGCCAACTGCCTCGCTCTCGCCATCTGCAGAGCCTGAGAATGCAAAGAAGAAGCAGAAAGTTGCGCCGAAGCCGTCGCCTCTTGCGGTCAGTCCTGTTCCCGCTGCGCCATCCACATCGCCGGTTGCAACGAGCAGTGAGCCACCTCCATCCACAATCGCACCCAGCGCAGGAACCATCAAGATTCCGTTGAAACTCAACTTGACGACGACGTCAGCAAGTGCCGTAGCTCCTGTTACTGCGGTAAGTAAGACTCCTACTCCCGCGCCTACGACGCGAGCGGCCAGCGTCCAGCGAACTTCTGTCGCGCCTAAGGCCTCGGCGTCCCCTCCCGTGACTGCGACACCAGTATCGGCAACAACTTCGCGTCCACCGTCGCGTCGCTCTGCAGCTGCGTCCGTCGAACCACAACCTGCCACCACACGTTCTAGCCGGCGCGCATCAATGACTCCGTCATTGGCTGGAGGTCAGAAGACACCTGCCGCGGACTTCCAACCTCAAGGGCCGAGTCCTAAATCTGTATTCAGCGCCATCCCCACGGCAGCAAGTCGGCGCAGCAAGCGTGACGCACCAGGCATGGTAATGCAGTCGAGTCAGGATGGCGGTGCCGCTGTTAGTGTCAGCAAGAGGAAAACCAAACCCGCCAAGAAGGTCTCGACTACCGCTCTGCAAGCGTCGGCCGCGGCACAGATGCCCCAGATCAGGATTGACGTTGATGGGCGGCAGGAGTGGGTGGATCCGGATGAAGAGCGGTATTGCGTTTGCGGGGACGTTAGTTGGGGGGAGATGATCTGCTGCGAGTTGGATGAGAAGGTATGTTTCTTCCGCGCTTCCTTGCCTGACCTTTGTGTCAGGAGTGCCTGATCAGTGGTGAGTATTGGCTGACATGGCTGCTAGTGCGACTTCGGCCAATGGTTCCACATGGAATGCGTCTCACTGCACGAATTGCCCCCGCGAACGGTGAAGTGGTATTGTCCTGGCGATCGAAAGAAACTCCGCAGGGGCGAAATGACGAATGGGTTGGTTGGAAGGGGTATCAAGTAGGAATTGACATGGACGTCAGGTGGTACATACTCTTTCAAGCCGCATTTCCTAAGCCTGAAGGATAACCGAGGGTGGAGTGTGTAAGATGCCGTATTATAGTGCATAGGACTGTGTTGTAGAGGTCGAGCGAGGCATCGGGCTTGCTGAACCGGACAGCACAAAGCGCCCATCTTCCCGTGTTCGTAGCACCGACATGATTATGGGTCTACGGGCGTGAGACCTACCCTGCATCCATCCAGCTAACAAGCACTGTCAATACCATGCTGAAATCCCAAACGTTCAGCCTCATCCCGGCCGGTCAGGCACGTTGCATGCCTGATGACTTAAACAAATCTCCCTCAGAGTACGGCGTACGCCGTACAAAAGACACAGGACAGGCAGGGCACTTGTAACAGCACTTCAGCCTCCGAATGTGCTCATTCTGTATGGTCATGAAAATAAAGCCTACGCAAAATTGGATTCTTGAGAGTGTATATCGATCTATGGATATGGACATGGACTCCATCAACTCGTCTCTTCCAGCCCTTCTTCGAGGTGCTGTCCAGCACATGGCATCGAGATATAGGTTTTAAAGTTGCGGGCGGAGTACGGAGTACTGTACAGTCGGGGACATTCAGCCCTCGAGTCTACGAGTCGATGGGTATAAGAGCATGATTGATCTGACATAGACTGGGCAGAAGAACTTATGCAATCCGGATACCCTCTGGGTATACTCGGCATGGCACGGTTTGGTATTGTGGGTTTGGTGCTTGCTACTTGCTGCCTTGCAGCTGGCTGTCTTTTGTGGTGTTTCAATTCGTCCTACTAATCAGGTGTTTCGTGGGTTTGTGATTTCGTCATGATGGCTGATCTGAGACTGAAGGGGCAGACACGCAGGTATACGACATCCAGACACTTAGATATCTCAATGTCAATGGTCGAGGGACCGAGTTGGGCAGAAAGAAATCTGTTGTGGCTGTATTTTGATTCTACGTGACTGGCTCTTTGCTGCACCGTGATATGCTACGGTGGATGGTGGCGCTGGTTGTGCTTGTTTGCTCGCCCGTGACACGCACGTACGTAACGTGTTGGAAAATCAGTCTTCCTCCTCAACTCAGACTCTACACAGGCACCTAACAGGCTCGTCCAAATTCTAGTGATCCGTCATTCCTCACGGTATCTCCATCTTCAGACGCTTACCCGCCGCGGATGGTGGCACTATTGCTGACTCTCCGGGGCCAGTTGGATCGCCTTTGGAGCTGGTAGCAGCTCCCCTCGACACACTGATGAAGGAGACAGCGGCCATGAAAACACCGACTCGCTGGTGATGCGTGAACTCGTGAGATGGTCCTCGACAACACACGCTGTTCATTTTGCGGCAGCTGATACGTGATCCTGGCCACACCAGAATTTGGTCATCCTCACAGAGCTCCGGTGCGTCTGTGAGCATTTCACCACAACTTGCACTTGGTTGGTAAGTTCGTGTCAAACGAAGATGTTACTCGGTTTGAATTGGTGAATCCTCGACCTGGTGAATGGCAGAACCTTGAATCAGACCAACCCCAACAGTGACGAGAGACTTTGCAGCTCTCAAGGTACGACTCGAAGCTACGGGTGTGGCGTTTGTGATCAATCTCATTGTCTCTTATCAGCGTGCGTGACACAGCAGATGGCGGACCGAATCTTCGAGAACCACTTGAAACAATGTACCCGGAGAATGTGAAACTGTGCACAGCATGGAAGTTGTGACAGAAGACGGCAAATCGGTTTGACAGTGCCACATTCATGGTTGCCCCCTCGAGGCTGTGTATCCTCAATCACGGCGATAGCTCGCGATACTCTGTTGGAGATGGCTGTCCCAATGACTCTTCTTTTCACTCACCGCTTCGAAGGGAAGGAATGATTTGACCGCAAACGCATGACTATATCTACCCAGCCTGTGGTGAAGTTGTGCTCCTGACTATCACCGATTCCTTGTCGACATCTCCATCCAAGCTCTATCTCAAAGGCTACATCAAGGACAGCCTCGCTGCTGTTGTCACGCAAGGTCAGTAATTGGGGCCTGTTGCCTGTCACGTCTGACGCGAACGAATCCTCACCGTCCTTGCTACTGCCGTTTCGACATCACAGGCAACTCTCAAACAAATCCTTAGTGAGAGAAGGTGCCAACGACATGATGGAGAGCGGCTATAAAGGCGGGTCTACGGCTGCTGCTTTCGAGCCTCTCCCCTTGTCACCATACCAGAACTCGGAAAAACGAAACACAACATCCACGGCAAAGCAACCATACGATAAATACATCCCCCTTTCAAGCAAGCATACACTACAGATATCTCAATATACCCCATCCGCCACCCCACGTCGCAAAATGGGTAAATGCTCCTATTGCGGAAACGACTCGAGCACATATTCGTGCAACTGCGGATCAGAGTATGCGAGCACCTCGAGCTTCGACAAGAGCCCTACTTCGCTGAATGATCCGAAGCCAGAGCTGGGCTCGGGTTCATCTCGATACACTGGTGTCGGTGGATCCTCATATACATCGACCCAATCTACCGACTATGTTGGCAAGCCTAGCAGCTCTTCAGGCTACGGAAGTCGTAAATAAGCTAGCATCAGCCCAACTCACATTGAGTGAGCATCATCGATGGCGGAGCTGTTCAGAAACGCCTGCAACATGGCTCAATATCGGGACGAAACGACATGAACCATAACATATCAGTCAGTTGGCTTCCGCACTTACTACGAGCAACAGATGTGCTCGGTGCTGGACGATTTGAGCTTTCCTCAACCTGGCATCATTGACCTGAGACCTTGCATGGTCCATCACGGCCGGAAGACATGTGCTGTAAGCTGGTCGGAACTGTCGAAGTGCGTGGTGCTCGGAGACCAGGTCCCTATGGGAGTTGGCAACCTCCACAACTAGTCACCATAGAACTAGATCAATATAACAACAGATTTTTGAGCGAAAGTAACATATCCTTCGTGTCTGTATATCTCCATCGCACCGCCAAGAAGAAGCAAAACAACAACTACATGTTCAAAGATCGATAGAAGTCTGTCGGAAGGCTGCTTTCTGAGTACCTCGTACCCATGATGACATCCACGACGCCGAATGAAGGATACATAACCTCTTGATGTGGACTAGCACCAAAGTCGACGGCATTTCTTCGAAGTGTACGAGGCGAGGCGAGGCAAGTAAAGCCATTCAAAACAACGCTTTTGTTCTATTAACCATTGGTATTTGCTCTGAACATCTCGTTCGTCCGCAGTCAAAGTGTAGAGGCAACCCGACACATCTCTTATTGTACTTCTGCCCCTGGCTTTTCTCACCTCTCCTTCCACCCCTCGCCCTCGACTTTATAGAACAAGACATTCGGCGCGGTTTTCACCTTGAGAATACTCATGCCGACCTTGGCCAGCTTGGGCGCCCCTGCCGCGATCTTCTCGACGTCGTCCTTCTTCACCACTGACAGTCCGGCCTTCCAGTCATCGCCCTCTTCCTCGGCCCGATCAGGCACGCCGATGATCTCCACGCTCTCCAACTCGGCCGCCACGCCGTTCTGGTCCAGCCCCTTTGCGAGTTTTCCGACCCAGCCGTCCTCGAGCAGCACGCTCACGGTCAAGTCGGCGAGACCGGGGGACCGCGACCCGCCGGCACAGGCGTACACGACCTGGCCGACCTCGTCGGGCCGCAACGACCACATGCCCAGATTGAGGACTTTCAAGCTCGTCAGCTCGCCTCCGTGACTTAGGGTTTCGAACCGTTTCCTCGTCGCGGCCGGGGCCCGCCCGTCGCAGGCAAAGGGGAGGACCCCCTCGTTCGGCTTCCCCACCGGCTTGTCCTTGCCGTCGTCGTCGGCTTCGGCTTCCTGCAGATCGTCCTGGCGCTGGGGCACAAAATCAAAGGAGGCGCCCACGATGCCCTTGACAATCAGGCTCGGGAGGTCCTCGCCCTGGACGCGGGCCAGGAAGTCCGAGTCCTCGTGCCCGCGGAAGGTGTAGGACACGTCGACGAGCTTGAACCCCCGCGCGGGGTCGTCGACGGACGCGTGTTTCTCGAGCTGCGACCCCACGGTGGTGAAGAAGCCCGGCCGCGCGAACGAGTCGATGATGTGCAATTCCTTCAGGTTCGGCAGGAGGGAGAAGAAGTTCTCGGCGTCGCGCCGCGAGTGGTCGTCCAGCCCGTCGATCAGGCAGCTGAAGAAGGTGACGCTGCGGATGTTGGGCAGCGACCGCGCGATGCGTGTCAGGAACGGTGGCGTGCCGGGGAATCCGAGGCCGAAGAGCTCGAACGTGAGGTGCGTGATGGATTGGGGGAGCTCGTCCAGCGGTGGTTGCGTGATGATCGCGTCCGAGGGCGTCTGGACCATGAATTGGTATTCGTCGAGCTTGATGTCGGCCGTCAGAGTCAGCTCCCTGAGCCGCGAGGCTTGTTGAGGGAACTCGGGCAATTGGAACGACTTCAACGGGATCTGCGCCGCGAGGGGGTATGAGCCTGCGTCTTGAGCCTCAGCCGGAGCGGCGGTGGACGCAGCACCGTTGGCCACTGCTGCCATTCTGGACGGTGGTGAATAACGGGAGTGGGGTTTGATATGTCAAAGCCACGGATTTCTTGTGACAATGAGGGTCTTCGTGACCAGGAGCAGCAGACAGACTGACAGATAGCCTAGGCGTTTCTATCCAGAACCAGGTTCGAAGCAAACGCTTTCAGCCGAGTAGCCTTCGATTCGTCGCTCTTACGGTAACCTGTCAATCAGGCCTGAAAGATTGGGTACTGTGTACTGTTACTGTTACTGCCAACGTATGCAAGATCTCAAGTTTGAGAGAGAAGTGAGCTGAACATCGATAGATAGGGATCTTCTGTCTCTCAAGTAGGTGTGTATGTATGTATGTAACCTCCGCTTCCTTTCCCTCTTTTTCCTTGCGCACTCCCGTTCTTCGGCGAGCTTCCACCACCATCTCCGTGCATGATTGCTGATGCCGCGTTGCTTGGGTTCCTCATCAGCTTACCCCTCAAAAAGGGGAGACCGGGTGTCCCGCGAATAGTGGCCCGCCATGGGCTCGGCGCGGGGAAAAGGTGGCAGGGCGAGCAGGGATAATGGGTGCTAGGATGGCTCGGTCGACGATCATCCGGAGATAACGAGGAGAGTAGATGGGGCTCCGTGGCGTGGATGTGGATGTGGATGTGGCTGTGGATGTGGCTGTGGATGGTCACAGGAAGAAGAGCGCCGGAGGAGCGGGAAGGATGGTGGAACCTGGCAGTGTGTCGGTATAACAGAGAAGGATGGTATTTGTGCCATGTCCTTCGGGCATGAGCGAAGCCGATAACAAAGTGGTCCTGGAAACACACAGTATGAGCGTCTAACAGCCGTGTCGTGATCGATCAAGAAAACCCGAAGAACGACTACGGACGTCTGTCGCAAAAATCATTTGATCTCAGCTTCGTGGTCACGTCTCCACCTGTGACTTTGTGCTATGAAAAGCAGTTTTAGTTACATCAGGACAATTTTGACAACATCAGGTCGTAGCTCATCAATCATTCCTTCGGCGAAGACGAGGCCTCTTCCTAACTCCACCACTGCAGATTGCAGAACATCCCGGACCGCAGGCACGACGACGAAAGTAATCCAATGGAAGGATGTCGCCCAGACCCCTAGTGATACATGGATAACCAACGTGGACTGTGGTAACGCCCGTGGCCGTAAATCATATCCAGGTTTATCATGCCGACTAGTCAGGGATACTCAATCCTCCGCTGTGACACATCGTGAAAAGCTTTTGTCAGAAGGGTGAGACATGTAGGTCGCGCTCAGGAAAGATTGAGTTCGACAGAGGCAGCCTTATGAGCGTACCCAGACTCAGGGGACGCCGCGTCCTTTCCGGTATGCTCCGTCCAGGTGATCAAGATCTTCGAGCCGCCGTTGGTGATGTCGTCGTCGCCAAAATATCCCGCATGCAAGCCGCCGGCGTAGATGTATCCCTCTACAGGCGCATCGATCTGGGCCAAGACTTTCGCGTCGGACCACTTGGCTTTGACAATGTGATCCACATCACAGTCTTGGTCATCAGCATCAAGATCAAGTGGCAAGTGGCGATAGTAGAATGTGTTGTCGGCAAGGGTATTGAGGTAGATCATGAGGAAGCTCCGGATGGCTGGAATATAGACGACATCCAGGTCCTGAACCTGCATGTCCAGCATGACAGCATTCGAAGATGACGATAACTTGTCTCCTATCCAGGAGTCACCGTTCCAATACTCGTATGTCGACAGGTCAGTGAAGCCATTTGGAACAGTTCTTGCGACGAGAACACCGTTGTCACCCTTGCCAAAGAGATAGATGTGCCCGTCATTGCCGCCCTTGCCATCGGGACCCCACGAGCGGATGCCGCCCAGAGTGCCAAAGGTGACCTCGTCTTGGTTGTACAGTTGTGGGACAACGCGTTCGGCAGTCGGACCGTAGGTAGGGTCCACTGAGACCAGGAGGACGGTGTTCCCAACATCGTTGAAAACTGCTGCCTGATTGCTCATGTCGACAACATCGTACACCAGCGCAGGATAAAGCAGGGCATGAGACGCATTGAAGGGGATGAGTGAAGATTCCGGCCACACCGCGTATCGGTATCCTTTGCCGGAGAGGTCGATGTTGAAGGATTCCTCTCCAGTGGTCATGGGAGCAAAGCCTCGCATTCTGCCAACATCGTCCTGCCACTCACCAAGGTTGTCGACAAGCTCGAGAGGTGCGCCATAGAGGGCCTTCATACCATAGTCCGTGGCGACAGAGCTAGATACAAAACCGACCATGCCCTGATCGTCGGAGAAGCTTGCGGTGTCACAGAAGACGAAAATGTGTGTTTCATTGATTGTACCTCCTTTTCCACCGTCACGAGACATGCGTGGCGCGGTTGTCATGTTTGACAGTTTCACACCACTTGGCAACTGAGCGTCAGTCCAAGAGCCAGTATCATCGGCAATTGGATACTTTGTTATGAGATCGGGGTTGAGGCCGGGTACAAGGAGGCTGCTTGCCAGCTTCTGGGGAGTGGCAGGTACATGACTGACATACTGTTTGGTGGGCTTGTTTGTGGAGCTGCCAAGGACTTTCAAGTTTCCTACGTTGACTTCGGAGTAGGATTTGCCCAGATTTGACCGAGGGGTCGGAATTGAGGATGATGTTGATGGCAAAGCGATTGGCGGCGTAGAAGGATTGATGGTTGCGCCCACAAGATGGATCGTGGCCGAGCTAGGGTCGTGCAGGGAAGACTGCAGATAGCAATCATCAGCGCCGTGGGTGCGATCTGGAGCGAAGACAAAGCCGGCGCAGCGAGTGCCTGCCATGGCTTTCTCATTGTAGGTCTGGCACTGCTCCAAACACTCATCGAAGGAGCCAGCGAGGATGAAGGGGTAGATGTTCTGAGCCGGGAAGTCGATGTCGCAGATCATGGTGTATTTTGTGCCATTGGGGAGCGCAGTGACAAAGGTGGTGCCGTTCGCAGCATCGCATGGCAGGCTTGAGAGTAGCAGAGTAGGATTGGCGCAATGGACTCCGGTGCACGGAGAGACTGGGCCGGCTGAGACTGAGCTCGCTTTGGCTTTGGCAGGAATGGGATATTTGCTGGTGTGAGTTGGTTCATCCCGTCCTGCGAGAAGATGACGAAAATGATCGAGACTGTAAGGATGGGTTGTCGCGAGATTGATGAAGGACAGAAAGACGAGAGAATGGATCAGCATCATGCTGAAAGCAATGGGGAAGGATCGCATGGCGACGACCTGATGCTGTCTTTTTGTCAATCACAAGTCCTTTGAGTGGATGATGGACATACCTTGCAACGACGATTGAGGTTTGCGCGACCGATCCAGCCGGTTCGGTATTTTTCAAGGAGTGACTGTACCTAGTGAATAACTGTCTTCAGCTGCGCCTTGAGAAGGAGTGGTGACTGTGTGTCCAAACGAAATGTTGTTGTTTGGTCACCGGAAAGGAAGGCGGAAGGCGGAATGCAAAGATGGCAAGCTCTAAAACACTAGAAGACTGTTTGTTTACAAGGTCCGGCAGAATCAATCTAAACACTAGCATTCCCTCTACCGCGTCAAAGCGAGACTCGTTATGTCCGGCGAGTGAAACCCAAGAACAGCAGTCTGAGTACCCGTTACTGGGTGGTCGAGGGTAATCTCTGGTAAGTCTCTGGGCATATCCTAGTATCATCAAAACTCCTCTTCATTCGTTTCATCTCATGTGAAGCCCCATGTCCGACTCCAAAGGGCCCCAAGCATTTGCTCATCATTGCATTCATGGCTTCGTGGACTTCTCTAGTTCAGGCCTCGAATGACACGAGGCTTTGGTTGGATGTGGCCAGCACCTGGAAGAAGGGGTATCGTTTCAACTGTCACCGGCATTGCCACTGCTGTATCGCTTTTCCAAGTCACATTGGCTTCATCCTAGCTCATCGTTGCGGGCTGTCCTCATGTTCGGCGTGCCCGTGACAGAACGTGTCAAACTCAATATCTGTGCAACCTCAGGAACTCGCCCCCACAACTCTAGGCTGGCTGTATGGTGACCTGGCAGTCGACTTCATTCGGCCTTCTTTGCAAGCTCCCGCACGTTTGATGAGGGTGTCGCATTCTTCTCCAGGTCGGCAGCCCACAACGCTGCTCCCACCGTGTTCGTGAAAGCGAAAAGGAGGTTGGCGAAGGGGATCATCTCCAGCACGAATGCCACCACCCCGAATGCAGTATATCCTCCGCGGTGATCCTCAATGTGCGCCTCTCTCTTCGACTTGCTCCATTCTTTCAGTTGAAAGTATCTCGTATGGGCTGCAGGCCCAGCTCTCTTTCCTTGTAGTGCAATGAAAATGGCCGTGCCCACTATCGGGATGAAATTCAGCGGCAGGTAGAGCAAGTATCGAATGATTGCATTGGGCGTGAACTTCGCAAAAGGTCTCTTGACCAATTTTCCCAGTCTGGCAATATTGTCGCCGCCAGCTCTGATTTGTCTGCCTCCTTCAACCAAGTTCGTGCATTCCCGAGAGAGTAGTGTACCGTCGAAAGTGTCCACTAAGGCGTCCTCTATCAGGAATGTCCTAGAGAAGAGATTGATGAGGGTCGAACTCTCGCTGAGGGTGAGTATGGCCGCCGAGATTGCTGCGACCGGACCGGACGTGAAGGCCATGATGGCAGCTTGAGGAACATAGGCAATAAGGAACATGAATGTGGTAACGCCAATGCTGAGGGTCAAGGTTGGTGCCAGCTTCGCGGTCAACGGTTTCCAGAGGTCTTTATGAGAGAGGAAGTAGAAAATTCCCTACTTCGCATTAGAATAAGGTGTCTCTGCCCAGGGAAGCTGGCATACCTTGATGGGATAAAGGTATGCTCGAGATCTGACAGCCTCCTGGGTCATGGTTCTGACTCGATCCGCCTCTTCGGCTGCGACCTGCTTGACACGGTCCGCCATTTTGTCTTACAGGTGATATGAGCCAGGGACCGATCGTAAGATGGTTCTGAAATATCACGAGTGTGCGCAAACTTCATGTCAAACAATACGCAGAAGCTACGAGGTACTTCGTGCGAGAAGCTGGAATTGCGGCCAGTGATGTCATTCTCACATCACAGCTCAACAGGGCTAGCAGGCCCCGGAGCCAATCAGGCACTTGTGGGCGCGTCCTTCCCCACGTTCAATCGCGACACGGGGGAGTTTCGCGTTTAAAGGGAACTTTCAGCCTCAGAGCAGACAACGAAGGTATCCTGGCAATCATTGTCCGGGAAACCAGAGGTCATCGATAAATGACAGTAACGCTCAGAGCGAGGTGTCTCTCGACGCTGATGATCAGTCAACCCTCGAGCGGCCCAAAACAGAATCCTTTATTAGTTTCCCCGTCCCAAAACAAAAGCTTGTGATTAATCAGTCGATTCGGCCGGGTCGAATGACTCGCACCGAGGATGGCAGACGAGAGAATTTTCTAAGCAATCCAAACATACAAACCGATCACGAACTAGATGGTAGACTTTGGATTGAGACCTGCCTTTAATGCCCGTCCTGGAGCCGTCAAGGCCCAACAGTTGCTTTCAAGCTAATGAGGTGAGATACTGATCACATCAGTAGCGTCCACAGGAGATGGACCATGTATGGCAAAAGGCACGGTGGATCTACGAAGTCAAACGCACGCTCTTGGGCAATGCTCCGGGATTTCTCGGATGGAGGTTTCTTGCAGCAATAAAACTGTCTTTCTGAAGTCAAAGAATTCGACACGAGCGGAGTACAGAGTTTTCGGGGCGAGGACCGCCACGGAAAAGGGTATTTTTGGTTCTCTGAAATCATCCTGACTTTTACGCACGACCAGCGCGCAGGACTTCCGAGGAGTTATGATGGCACGCTCATGCGACATATTAAGCTGGACCGACTGGACGTGACCGCCGTTATGAGCACAGCCGTCCTCGACTTTGGATGCGGAGAACTTTGGTACTGGCAGCACTCATAATGTCTGAAGCAGAGTTGTCCGATTCGCATGGAACTCTACGTCCCTGGGTCCTCCGGAACGGGGCGGATGCGACCAAAGGGAGCGCGAACCAAAATGAGCCGCTTGCCGAGAAGCTGTTTCTCGCTGGATATCGCAAACACTACGCTACCCCGATGATGAGGATCGGGTGACCTTTGCTCACAAGTTTACTGTTCGGGGACTTCAGTGGCGGAAAAGCCGCGAAAAGGAAAATACCTTGATCCATGGCCCTGCATCAATGTTCTCGACTTGTGCAAAACATCGTTCCCATGATCCTAATCTTTTGCCGAATCTCAGCGACTACGACGCCAGAACGAGGCTGACTTCCCACCATAACAGAGTGTGAGCGAGTAGAACCAAGGTCTTCCAGATCTATAGTAACAGTGAGGGTGTTTCCGCTTAAAGCTCGCAGGCCTTCAGCAAATAAGAAGCCATCCACACGACTGATCAATCTATTAGGTGAAGTTAATTTTGCGACCTGACCAGACCGGCTGCGAGGTGATATGTGCCTTGCCGAACTGCTGTACTTTGCTGGACATCATACTCATGAGCTACCAAGGTCAGGGGACGATCAAAGCTATGCTGGGGAGTCCTTGGACAGCTCGCATGAATTCTTCATAAGCGATGCGACAACTCTTACTTAACATTTCAACGAAACTCGCCGCTGCAGCCTCAAGCGACGTCGGCTTTCCCGTCGAGTGGCACGGATCCATTCTACATTTTGTCCATGAGTCTTCATCCCTATCGACATGGACCACCGTTGCGCTTGGAACTCGATAAATTACCTCCCCGAGAACCGTACGATCAGCCGATGTTCGAATCCCACCATGTGGCTTATGGGAAGGTTCCTCTGGTTACTCTACCATTACCATTCGTTGACACACACGCCGCTTGTTGGAATCGAGCAAACAAACGGCCATCGGGGCATTCTGCGAACCACCAAACCAGCTACGTCGCGACCACCGCGATGAGGAAATCCCCCTTCACCCATACTTGGAACAGGGGTACTAATTACGCACCTACAAGCCGGCATGTATCCTGCAAAGCGCAACAGAACCGACATTCTAGGCTTGTGCATCATGTGTCATTGTGTTGGAGAACCTCTTCGCCCTGTCTGCAAATCTGGTACCACGACCAGACACAGTCATGGGGGCATTGTTCGGAGGAAAATATCTAGAATCGAGCTCAAAGCCTAGGTAAGGTTACCGTAACGTGTACGCGGGAGGCTCCTCGACTTTAGCGTTTCGGGCTCTGCATTCTCTAGTTCTAACACCCGTTATGGCGAGAGATGAGAGTGGACAAAGATGGTAACAAATCAATACTGCTGTCTCGCTATACCCTACCATGCGCCGAGAATGACTCCTCGTAATCAAAAGGATTTGGACCACCGAGCAGCTCGACCTAACAGGCTCCGCCCTTGAACCGTTTTGTAGAGCATAGGTGCGACTCTGCGGTATATGCCACTGCCTTCACCCGAGGAGACTGCGGATGACGGCCCCAATGTTCTCGGTGCGAACAGCCTCCTAACCAAGATTTCCTCAGCCGAGCACAAGAGACGAGCAAGCCCAACAAGCACATCCAAACCAGTTAACAAGCACAATTATCCTTCTGCTGCTTCGCCCTCTCGTTCAGATTGACTCTCGCTTCTTCTGCCCGATTTGCGGCCCCGGACAGTGCTGCCTGCGTACCTCCGCCAGCAGCACCTCGAGCACCTTTCAAGGATGTTTCTGGGATTGCGTTTGCAATGGCCGAGAATACCTCGGCAACATTTGTACCCGTCTTTGCTGATGTCTCGAAGAACAGTAAACTCTCCTCTTCTGCATAAGACTTGGCTTCTCTCGTGGATATCTTCCTTGCATCGCTGTTGTCTGTGTGCTCGGCCTCGGCTTCTTCACTGCCAGTCCCTTCAGCATCCTCGCCCTCCGTAGGTGCGGCAGAGTCCTCCTCTGAGTC